ATATAGCTGTTAGCACACACTCAGAGCTCACAGCTCCTCATATCTGTTCAGAAACTGGACAAAAGTTAAACATGTACAAACCACAGAGTGTCTATGTCATGGCGAATACAGTCGCTGCTTTATTTATGTCTGTATGACGCTGTTGTGAGTGTGGACGGAGCAGCTACAGGTTAGTTTAGCCTGATCGATCCGATTCCATTCAGAAAACACGCATTTTAAAAGCTTTTCGCCTGCCGTCTTGTCTGCAGACTTGTCAAAGCATTAATTCATGGTTTTTACTAACCGGTATCAGTATGTAGTTACTTCGGCATCACTTTGAAACGTGTATTACAATTAAATCATGGTCAATATGTTCATTTTGTTGTAGTTGGTATCTCCCATAGGATTTACATGGAGATACGCCCCCCCCCCTCTCCAGCGCGTCTTGTTTGAATGACAGGAACAAACACAGCTGACAGCCGCCGTGAAACTCGAGCGATTAGAGCGATGCGAATATTGGGTAGTCTACCATAGTATTTACATGGAGATAAGCCCCTTAAAAACCATGAATTAATAAAGCATTAATTAATGTTTTTTTTGCATCGCTCTAATCGCTCGAGTTTCACCGCAGCTGTCAGTGTTTACTCCTGTCATTCAAACAAGACGTGCTGGAGAGGGGGCGGATCGATCAGGCTAAACTAACCTGTAGCTGCTCCGTCCACACTCACAACAGCGTCATACAGACATAAATAAAGCAGCGACTGTATTCGCCATGACACAGACAGTCTGTGGTTTGTACTTGTTTAACTTTTGTCCAGTTTCTGAACAGATATGAGGAGCTGTGAGCTCTGAGTGTGTGCTAACAGCTAACGGCTGATGTGTTGGGACATGTTGGCTGTCGGGTGCAGACCAATCACGAAGCGTCATTTCTTGACTGGCAGCAAAAACAACCAATCACAGCAGTGCTTCTCTGGCTGGGTCTGTCCAATCACAAACAAGAAGTGTTCTCCCTAAAGGAATACCCTTTCCGTCCAATGTGAAATGCTGTTGTGTTTTCTGAAATGCTGTTGTGTTTTCTGAAATGGTGTAGCGTTTTGTGAAATGCTGTTGTGTTTTCTGAAATGGTGTAGCGTTTTCTGAAATGCTGTTGTGTTTTCTGAAATGGTGTAGCGTTTTCTGAAATGCTGTTGCGTTTTCTGAAATGCTGTGGTGTTTTCTGAAATGCTGTGGTGTTTTCTGAAATGCTGTGGTGTCTTGCACTTCCGGGCCACCGTATCAGACAATTGTTTTGTCTTTTGAGGTACAGCCGCAGCAGAGAGTCTGAGTTTGAAGAAAACCCTACAATTGTATTCAGTGTTGTTTAATCAATCAATATTTATTGGTCTTGAATTTCCTCACTGGATTACAAAATGCTCGAATCTTATTGTACAGGGACATTATGCAGATTTCATCAACTGAAGATGAAAATATAGATTCAGCGATATGTACCATTTTAAGGAAATAGACTGTTAGCGGTATTGACCGAAGCTCCGCAGCTGTAGCTAGGCGCTGCTAATGAAAACTCAAGTGCTCAATTTGTTACTTTTGCTTTTTTATTAAGAATTGACCAAGCATATCTTCCTCTTCGAAATCCCAGTTGTACTTCGCTAACACGCAGTGCCTGCGAGAGTGCGTTTGATTGTTCCCACCCTTACCTCATTTATGGACTAGGTCATGTTAGACAAGCAATCCAGTGGTTAGTTTTAGGGTAAGGTTTTTTTTATTTATTCACTTTAAGAGAAAGGGATTTCAGAAACAAGTCTCACAAGTTTGCCTCAAGGTAACATTAACAAAAGCTAACTGTTGTTAGACTATGTTCCCCCCTTCTAAACTTATGAAATGAATGAGAAAAATATGAACAACTCTTCATAGAGCCACATCCACACAGCTTTAAAGTTGTAGGAAGCTGAAGCACTGCATTCGTGCCAGCGCCTAGTTGTAGTTTCTAAGGTATTAGAAAGTTGTTTTTTCTGGAAGGGGTTTAGCATTTGATCAATTCCCTTGGGATGCCATCAAGAACTGTTTTTACAATCAATAGTGTGTTTAAGTTTCCAACCCTGCTTCAAAGGTCCATCATACAAGATGGGGGATCTATTGGCAGCTGCTGATAATAACATTCATCATTATGGTTTACTAATTGTTGTCTTTTTGTCCTCTAGGTTGCACTGCCACATCTACAGTAGCGCAGAATGGACAGAGGAAACATGATTGGGCCTCAAGTTTTTTGCAGCCAATATACATTCTCCTACAAACTTGGGATAGGAGGGTGAGTGAACAAGTTATCCATTGGTTGGAACCTACCATTGTTAGACGTACTAAATCCTGCACACTGCTCCTTCAAATGGACAATGTGAACATATGTCGCCATTTTGTAATTTCTGTTATTTTCAGTTGAGAATGTTTCAAAGTAATCTTAAAAAATTAAACTTACTTTTTGTTTATACTGTTTGTAAGTAGATGTTTAAATATTAAATGCTGTATTCATTAATGGTTGTATAATTCTACAAATATTTTTATATTTTAAGTTTTAACATTTTTATAGTAATTGTTCCCTACAGAACATTTTGTGCTGTCTTTTTATTGAACGTCTTTGATTGGAAAATGTTAGAAAAAAGCTGTAAAATAACAGTATTCTACCTGTAGAACTTTAGGTTCTGCATTTACTTTTGTGTTTGATCATAAAAATCTAATAAAAAAAAATGTAAAAAACAGTTTTTCTCATCAGAACTTTATTTAAGGTATTTGAATGTAACATTTTAAGACAATGGATTTTGAAAAGAGAGGAAACATCTGTAACACTACAATGTTTTCCTGTAAAATCTTTAAGGACAATTCCTGTTTATTAATTGCTTTAGCACTTTATTTCAGTGAAAGTATTTTACTTTAATTTAAGGGTTTTTGTTTGGCAGTTTTCTTTTTTACAGTGTAGCCTATTTGATTTGACCCAACTGGACTCACGGGTGAGATGCTTTTTGTGCATTTTTGCTTGCTGTATGTGGATGACGTGATTAGTCATGTCATCCAATAGTATTTGACAGGAAACCATTGTATGAGCTTCCTCCAGGAAGGACCGGAGCTGGGGACTACAGTTATGCACGTCTATCATTGTAAATTGATAGTAAATTGCTGGCTACTCATCTGCATTACTTTCACAGTACACATTGTACATTCACAGTAAATTACTGGCAACTCTTTTGCATTACTTTCACAGTACACATTGTACATTCACAGTAAATTACTGGCAACTCCTGCATTGCTTTCACAATAGAAATGTAAAAGTACAGGCCCTTGTTGTAATGCATGTACAACAAAATGATGTAATTCCCCAGTAACATACTGTAATATCACAGTAATTCCTTAGTCATTGAAGCTGTGAAGTTACAGTATACAGTTTTACCTTTACAATAATGCATTGTAATATCATGGGTGTGAAATTACAATACATTGCTGTGAAGACATTCACAGCAATGTATTGTAATATCATGGATGTGAAATTACAATGCATTATTGTGAAGACATTCACAGCAATGTATTGTAATATCATGGATGTGAAATTACAATACATTGCTGTGAAGACATTCACAGCAATGTATTGTAATATCATGAGTGTGAAATTACAATACATTACTGTGAAGACAATCACAGTAAATTGCTGTGAATCTTACTGTGAAAGTCATGCAAAAATTGGCCAAGTATTTATTGTGAATTCACGGTGAAAATTTTTACAGTGTATATTTAGCACATTTTAACATGATGACATGCTGACCTTTAACCTTTGTGTCTGTTTGTGTCTGTGGGACCCGTTTTCAGTGTTTACTAAAAGAACATGTATGCAATTTAATTATTTTAACCTGCTTTATTTGGGGGTGGACGGGCCTCACCTCCTCTAGGGGGGTCCGGGGGCATGCACCCCCGGGAAGATTATTTTTAAATGTTGAAGTGAAATGCATCAATCTGGAGCACTTTGAGCACAACATAAATTGATGGATACAGCTCTCAACACTCCGATGAAAGGGAGCTGTATACTTTTCAATAATCCAAACATCTTTAGAATATGATCACAACCAATAACAAATAATTTCAACTGGTTTATTCTTATCTTAGCTTATTTTACTAATCACTCCCCTTTCAAACTGTTTTTTTTCCTATACACATTGGAATGATTTCTTACTTTATCTATATTAAATAGATGATAAAGGCAGTCTCTCTCTCTCTCTCTCTCTCTCTCTCTCTCTCTCTCTCTCTCTCTCTCTCTCTCTCTCTCTCTCTCTCTATCTCTCTCTCTCTCTCTCTCTCTCTCTCTCTCTCTCTCTCTCTCTCTCTCTCTCTCTCTCTCTCAGAGGCTGTGTGCTCCTCCGTGGCGATGACGGCTTGCGTTAAAAAAATAAATAAACATATTTGTAAAGTGGGGGGACACAAACGGGATTTCTAAAAGAGCGGGGGACATTTCCCCCTCTGTCCCAGGTGGAAGAGACGCCATGCGTGTGTGTGCGTCAAGTGGAATAAATATATATGCAAGTTGCAGCACACAGAGTAAAGCTCTGCCCCTCATGTGCTGTAGAGGCTGCATGATAGGCTGCTCAATGGGGCTGATGTGTTGTGTAGATTCTGCCAGAAGGGACATCAGCGGGGAGGTGCCTTTTCTTCCAGACTGCAACGCTGGTCCCACAAATCAAGCAAGAACGTGATTGGTCGATATTCATTGTGGGGGTGGGGGGAGGAGGGGTGTTAGATAGATATAGAGTTGTAGTAAGTAGATAGAGTTCACTATGATGTAGGTTTCCTTTATGCATAGGGTAGATTCTTTTAATTACATTTCCTTTTTTGTTTTGTGTATTTTATACATTTTGGATTTGCTTGGCGAGCTATTTTTAGAACATGCCCCGCGGGCGACTCACGTTGCCCCTGCGGGCGACTAAGTGCCCACGGGCACCGTGTTGGCTACCCCTGCTCTAGAGAGAAGCTGACTGATCCACACTTACACTTCCTCAGACCTGCTCTGAACCTCTGCTCTCCACCATGGTCCAGCCTGGAGGAAGAAACACATGTGAGAAACAGAACAGCGTATTGTTAGAATAAAGTATTTATCAATGTTCATCATAATAATAAATCCTATGTGTCCGAAGGGAGCAGGAGGAAGCAGATGCTTATTGATCCCCCTCACTTACTGCTGATCAATGATTATCCTTTCAATCATCTCTGAAAGTTATTCCTACTTACATATTTACATTTATACATTTACAATCATTTCTCCTCTTCAATCTCCTTTCTTCATTCTCATACTTTCCCAAAGAAGTGTTTCTGTGCATCCTTCAAAGTGAATGCTATGTGTGCTTTGTTTGAACTCCTGCTCCAAGCCGCTCCATGAAACCCCCCCCCCCACAGATTGTTCTGCTCTTCTCAGAGTTCTTCTGACCTTGAGTTGTTTCAGATGTAGATCTCCTCTCAGATGATACCCCCCCTCTCTGTCTATGAACAACGTCTGTAGTGTCCTAGGAAGTAGATGATCTCTTGCTCTGTACATGATGCAGTTTGAAATGTAACCAGATCAGTAAACTTCAGTGTGTGTGACTTCAAGAATAATGAATGAGTGTGTTCAAGATATCCAACATTATTGATTATAGAAAAGTCTAAAAAGGATAGAAAATCCACTTTGCTTCTTCCGACTCATGCACTTGAGAGAAGATGAAGAAGAAGAAGAAGAAGAAATGATGTAAAGATAATCAGAGAGTCTTTATCAATTCAATCACATGTCACGGTGGTGCAGGTGGAAAAGTCCCGATCGTCTCTCTGGGAATCATAAATGTCAAACAGAATCTCATCTCAACACATTTAGCAGTTGGTGAGATATCAGGTCAGAACCAAATCCATAAACTGACCATCATTATCCTCCCTAGAGCCAGGAAACCAGTGGTTCTGATGTTTGGACTGAATGGCTGTTTCCATGTAATAAGACTTGAAGGTTAACTCACTGCAGTGAACATAATCAAGGGAAATGAGACGTCCTTCATGATGGAAGACCAGAGATGAAGGAGATGAAATTAGAAAAATACGAGGAAGTCAGTCTGTCCATACCTGAGTGTCTCCAGACTGCAGAGTGGATCCTCCCGTCCAGCAGAAAGCAGCTTCTCTCCTGATAGACGGGGTCAATTTTCACAAAATCAGAACCCCAAAGGCATTTTGTGTTTATTCATGCCATACAACATTTCTAGGGGTATTAAGGGGTGCTGAATCCAACTCTGCTGTATATGAAGCTCAACAATGTCCCAAAATGCCTCACAATTGAGAAACCCAATGTGGCCTATGAGTCTCCTGGATGATTGTAGCTGATTGCAGCTCAGGTCCAGCTCTCTCAGATGGGAGGCGTTGGAGCTCAGAGCTGAAGCCAGAGAAACACAGCCTTCCTCTGACAAAATAGCAGGTTATTTTCCTTATATCAAGTCACTGGATCTTGTTGCATAATTATTTGTACATTGTCCAGTATAAGTTCCACCCCACAGAGAACCATCTGTTTTCCCACAGAGAACCATGGCCCTGAACCTGACTGACTCTTATTCCTGCTGCTGGGAGATGAGGCACGATACCAGCAGATCCCAACACCCACTGAGGGTGTGGACACAGCTCTCTCTCCAGTTATACAGGAAGTGGATGGCTCTTACTGTGTCGCAGTATACTCCTGCAGTAGCCTACCATCTACAAGACACCCTGGGGGGTCACAGTAATAACCCGTCCCTTCCTCCCCAAGTCATGTTGGACGGCAAATGATACCTCCTTCCACCTGTAGGGGGCTGGGCCGTTAGTAATGACTAGGACAGAATCTGCAGTGAGCAATCCCAGTGAGGCTGAGCAATGTGCTCCTCTGATGTTTAGAGCTTACACTACAGTCCCCTTTAAAACATGGACAATGACACTGTCTGCCTCCATGCAACATTGAACAGGAATTTAAATCACAACTGTCCAATCCTATGTCAGGACAAACCTCCACAGTGTGTCCCTGTGGCCCCTTCTGACCACCTGAGCAACAACAGCTGTTCTCCAAGCCCTCAGCTCTGCCTCCTGAACTCAGTGTGCATCAGTCCCATTCAACATCCTGAGACTGAGTCAGCAGCTAACCTACACTGTGGAAAACAGCCGGGGTTTATCCATGACTCCCCCTCCTGAGATATCTGACAGTTCAGCAGGACAAACCTCATTCCAAACAGAATTGGCCGTTTCCTGGGAAAATGTAGCACTCAAGGACTCACTGCCATTTCAGAGCCCACTGATGACTTTCTGGTCATTCCTCTGATCCATCCCCTCCCCAACACTGGCTTTTAGCATCACCCACTTGTATTACATATCTCCAATGTCCCACCAGGAGAAACTCGTTGATATAGCATTGGTGGTTCAGTGGTAAAATTCTCGCCTGGATCCCGGGTCCGATTCCCAGCCAATGCAGCAGAGTGTTTTAGTGCCGCAGTGGCGCAGTCTGTAGGAATTTGTGTTGGGAACCGAAGGGTCGCCGGTTGGAGTCCCGATCGGACCAAAATAATACGGAGTGTAGACTGGTTCCTGAAGAGGTGCCAGTTCACCTCCTGCCCTCGAGCAAGGCACAGAACCCCCCAACTGCTCCCTGGCGCTGGACAGACTGGCTGCCTGTTTTGCTCAGACCTCTCTCACCTGTCCTGTGCATGTGTGTGTATTGTACTGTGTGTTACCACAACCGAGTGAACAACTGAGCTGAATTCCCCCTTTGGGATAAAATAAAGCGTCTTCTCCTTCTTAATAACATTGGCTGCTAATCATAATGACGTTGGATAGTGTCAGTGCGGTCGGACTCTCAAAGCACAGCAGTCTCTTTTCCTAAGTCCTGATGAATCCTCCTATCATTAAGCCCAAGATGTTTCACAGAGGTTACGGAATAGTGGTTAGGGAGAGACGAAAGGCGATATATTTTGGACAATTTTACCGAAATCCAAACTTTCTAATCCAGGAACGGTAATTGGATTCCTAAAATGCTGATCTATAAAGGTTCTACAACCCCTCACCTGGAACCAACAGGGTGACCTTGCCAGAAACTAGTGACCCTGACCTCTCTGCTTTCAGGGGTACCTCAGCCCCAACACCATGTGGAGGTGATGGTTCTCTGAGGGGGATATCAGGAGTCTAAAACATGATGCATGGCTGGGAAAAATAAAAAAAGTTATATTTTGGTAAACTCTTTTTTAAAGACCTACCTTTAGGGTCTGATGAGGATTCTGATAATGCCTCAAATAGATCATTCCTCGGGATCTTCTTCAAAACGTCTCTGGTCACTTTAATGGTGTTTGTGCCGTAGTGCTGAAGCATCAGTTGCACTGTGTCAATCCGGTCTGCTTCCTCTAGTTCACTCTTTGGGATTCCTGGGAGTTCTAGGACCTTATCCTCCAGGCACCACTTGAATTTTTTGAATTCCTTTCCCCCCAAACTTTCTAAAATTGTTAATAGGGCATCTCTAGGTGTCTCCATCTTTTCTCCCTGCAGAGCAAAGATACAGAGAAAGAAAATATTTATCTTACAGAACAATGTGTTGTTTTATTGTATTTTTGTACTTTTGAAAACCACAACAGGCCTTCAGGATCCAAAGAACAGCCGCCATGTGACTTTGGATGGCTTCAATTCAGATGTCGAGTTAGTGAATGCCCTAATCGGTTCTAAACTTGTTTTAATACCTTAGACTTCACGAAAGACATTCAGGAAGTCAATCATAAACTTGAAGACAATCAGCCCCATTGGTCCAAATGGACCAATCCGTGGAGCAGAGTTCCCGTTAGAATATTTTTTTGCCGGTCAAAATGTCCGTTAAAGTTGAAATCTTCCGGATAAAATTAGAAAAGTGCCGGTCAAAGGTCTTCTTTGTTATCTATTGAGCTTTAAAACAAATGTATATGATTCGATAATAAACAAACTAATTATAGTAGATTAACTACATTATTAAAAAGTGTAAAGTAACTTACAATAACGCGGGAATAATAAACGGAGCGCTCTCTCTCTCCTGACGCCAGTCTCATGCAGCTCGCGGATCCAGTAATGAGTGACCCGACAGTAAAACTAAACATATCTATAACTAGTTTAGGTAGTTTGAGAGGTAATTAAAATAGCTACGTGTGATGTTCTAACCTGAAGTGTGTGTTGCTCTGCTCACCGCTGCAGCCGATCTCTCTCTCCCGTCAGATTAGACTTTACTCGCGTTTGTGTCCATATCGATCAGATCTAGCTAGTTCTAGCTAATGATATGACTACCTGCTTATTAAAAGACACCTAAACAATAAGCGTCGCTATGCAACCGGGTGAGGCCACAAAGTATAGCGCAGCATTATGCATTTGTTTACATGCCCACCGGAGGCATTACCAACAGATCAACGCACAATCAACCCTTACACAGGGCTGCCAACACTCACGCATTGAGCGTGAGAGTCACGCAATTAACCCATATCTCACACACTCACGCCACACATGTCTTTCCTCACGCGAAGGAACAGCAAACCGAGCGGTCTACGAAATGAGACGGCCTTCTGGCTTAGTTCAGTAAAGTTGGAACGATATTGGGAGATTCGGATTTCACGGATCAATAACTCATGAACAAAACGTTATTCAGACACAAATGTCGTCTCCTAAGTACCGTGGTAAGGTTGACAACGAACTACAATCACATTTTGATTAAAAAAAAGCCAATACGCGCCGTCCTCCGAGCTGGACACATTACATTTGTCTCTATCCGCAGCCGGAGAAGAAACGAGTGCTCAGGGACCGTCTGCAAAGTGCAATACAATAATATTCAATCACTATTATACAGTATATTACTACCAAACTCACCACACACATCAATAGTCTCCTGGTGGTCATACTACAGCAGAGAGTTTGGAAGAATATGCTTTTGAATAATTTTGGGGAATATTTATGTAAATCTGGCATCATCTTGAATAACTTTACTATTATACAGTATATTTCTACCAAACTCACTATTTGCATTGTTGTTGTTAGCATCTGGTTAGCTAGCTGCGCTAACGGATATTAGAAGCAGTTTCTAAAACAAGGAGAGGGAGAGCTCTGTCCTCAGACTGAGAGAGATAACTGCAGCTCAGTGAGGTAAGGGACTCTGTTTAGATAGTTCACTTTAGTCTAGTTATCTCAGTGGGTCTCAAACGTTTTGGTCACCATTTATGAGAATAAATGAAAAACAGTTATGAAATACTATATGACAGTAAAACAAGAATACAGTTTAAAAGGTGAGTGATTTGTAAAATATCCATAAAGAAAAAGAAAATCTGTTTACAGTTCTGTTTCATATGGGTGTTGAGAGATGTATCCATAAATTCATTTTGCTCTCAAAGTGCACCAGATTGATGCTTTTAACTTCAATATTTAAAAAAAATCTTCCCGGGGGAGCACGCCCCCGGACCCCGAGAGGAGGTCAGGCCCCCCCCCCCTTATAAGATAGCACTTTACCTCTGCTTACACCTATATGCCATTTTATATGCTGTGAGCTGATTATCGAGCCTTCATTGTAAGAGTCGCGGGTACACTGTGTATGTGCGTATTCCACTGTAGCGCCCGGTACATTAATGGGAAACTCTTGTTTGTACATGTTCAATACATTTGTAACACTGTACACATGAACGTTTATTTTTTCGGTTCACCAAAAAAAAAACTCACTCCAAGCTGAACTCAAATGTTGGCAGCCCTGCTGTATAGGACATCTCTTTCTCCACATTAAGTGTGAGACATTAGAATTGACTATTCTTGTCTGTCACATACTATTCTTGTCTGTCACATAAGTGGCGCAACTGATGCGGTATTGCACTAAGGGGAAATTATTTTGACTGGACATTTTGACCGGAGATATTTAAATGTGCCGGTCTTCAGCATATTTTACCGGTCATAGTCCGGTAATTACCGGCTAACGGGAACTCTGCCGTGGAGCTCCTCACACACACACACACTCTCTCATCGGCGAAACTGTGACGCGCTGTGGTGGGGGTGCTAGTGAAGCCTCGCAGCAGCGAAACTGTGGCGCGCTTACACTGTAGGCGGGTGCTAGTGGAGCCTCGCAGATGGGGGTGCTGCATCCCCCTCAGCACCCCCCCTTCCCGCGTCCATTCGCGATGTCTCACAGACCCCACGCAGCAAGCAGGAAATGAACCCAGCTCACACTGTCCGCTCCCCGCGCAACGTCCCGCCAACACGGCACCCAGACCCCACGCAGCATTCTCATCTGTTTGTCATTGTCACTACCCGATCTGCCGCCCTGACCTATCTGCAGTGCGCATGTGCGAGATGGTCCGCCATATTGCACAACTCCGTACGGCAACCCAACTAGGACATTTGACACAGTGGCATTTGGCAAAGCACACAAAGAAAACTCAGAAAACTGAGAGAGATGAGTTATTGTTATTACAACGTGACTTCACTATTATTTAACAACTCTTTTTATTGGGTTCTTTTATTTGGGGTTAAGTACATTGTCAGAATAAGTGAGAAATGGATTTAACTTCTGTTAGACAGCTATATGCTATACATTTTTGCATACATTCATAGTAAATATTTATTCAGTATGATAGCTGTCTAACAGAATTTAAAGGGCCCATGTCATGCTTTTCCGGTTATTACCCGTCCCCTTGTGTGTTATGAAGGTTTTTATGCATGTAAACGGTGTGCAGAGTCAAAACCCTCAAAGTACACACTGTAGCGAGTAAAACTCTAACACAGAAAATACCTCCCCAAAACGCCTCGTTGGAGATACGTCATTGTCCATTTGATTCTTCCATTTCGTTCCGGGTACGGCATGATGTCAAGCCGTACCCGGAACGAAATGGACCAATCCGTGGAGCCGTTACGTTACGTCCGCGGAGCCGTTACGTTAAGCCCCCGCTGATTGGTCCAAATTGACCAATCCACGGACTTCCTCACACACACACTATGTGCAGGGAGCAGGCAGCTCAGCTGATTTCTCCTCCCTGGCTGCAGGTTGATAACAGACAGTTGGGATCGCGGCAAAATTCTCTCTGCAGACCCATTCTCTCTGCAGACCCATTCTCTCTGCAGACCCATTCTCTCTGCAGACCCATTCTCTCTGCAGACCCACTCTCTCTGCAGACCCACTCTCTCTGCAGACCCATTCTCTCTGCAGACCCATTCTCTCTGCAGACCCACTCTCTCTGCAGACCCATTCTCTCTGCAGACCCATTCTCTCTGCAGACCCATTCTCTCTGCAGACCCATTCTCACAGCGTTTATCAACGTTTTTCTTACTCAATATCAAGCCACACTTATTGTTTTTAATCCGGATGTGAGTTTGGCTGTGTTTCGCTGTGTATCGCTAACAAGGAAACAACACCTCCACGGAGCTCAGCGCGATTCACTACATCCCGACCAATCAGAGCACACTGTGCTCACAGGGAGGGTGGGGGCTGGAGCTATTGTAGCTACAACGAGCCGTTAAAGGCAGAGAGTGAAATTCAGTGAATACACGTAGTTTACAGAGATGCTGTTTGAGAAACCAATGTGAGTTTGGAGAGATGCTGTTTGAGAAACCAATGTGAGTTTGGAGAGATGCTGTATGAGAAACCAATGTGAGTTTGGAGAGATGCTGTTTGAGAAACCAATGTGAGTTTGGAGAGATGCTGTTTGAGAAACCAATGTGAGTTTGGAGAGATGCTGTACGAGAAACCAATGTGAGTTTGGAGAGATGCTGTTTGAGAAACCAATGTGAGTTTGGAAAAATGCACAATATAAATCTATTCTAGTTGACCTCAACAATGGAATTATGATCAGTGGAAATGGCCATGACATGGGCCCTTTAAATCCATTTCTCACTTATTCTGACAATGTACTTAAACCCAAATAAAAGAACCCAATAAAAAGAGTTCTTAAATAATAGTGAAGTCACGTTGTAATAATAACTAATCTCTCTCGGTTCTTTTTCTGCTTTGCCAAAAGCCACTGTGTCAAGTGTCCTATTAGAGTTGCCGTATGTAGTTGTCAAATATGGCGGACCATCTCGCACATGCACACTGCAGATAGGGCAGGGCTGCAGATCGGGTAGTGACAGTCATTACTGGTGTCATTTCCTGGTTGCTAACAAACGCCATTGTAACACATAATCACTGATGTTCCGCTGTAACGGTGGTGGACTCATCAGAACAGAGTGGGCGAGCTGACCAATCAGAGCACAGTGGGCTCATAGGGAGGGAGGGGGGGGGGGGGCAGGAGCTCCAACAAGCCGTTTAGGACAGAGAGTGAATACACATACTATACAGAGATGCTGTATGAGAAACCAATGTGAGTTTGGAACATTGAACAATGTAAATCTATTCTAGTAGACCTCAACAATGGAATTATGATCAGTGGAAATGGCCATGACATGGGACCTTTAACCTGTTCCACTCTGAGCCTGTTTTTCAGGTCTCAGGCTCGAAAATGACATTCCCAGAACAAATGACCATATCTTCCCTTCTAAAAGGGTTAAATTAATAATCTTTGTTCTCAAAGTAATGATAAACCTGTGAGTTGGATGTAGAAGTGTCAGAATCAATATAAATGTTTTTTATTTTAAAGAAAATTCAGATTTTACATAGTAAAAAAACTGTAAATTATAGTGTCCGTCCAAAGATTATTTTTTACAGATAGTGAAAACTACCCTTGGATGATGGGTTAGTAGACTAAAAGCTTTAGGAATCCAAAGTACAACATATAATAAGTACCCTGTATCAAGATTGATGCAAAACAAGTGAAATTTGACCTTTTTAGAGAGATTTAGCCAAAAACCCCCACTTTTGGGGTCATTTGGGTGGATTTGACCTATCTCTGGCCCCCCTTGGTCGATTTGGTTGGTTGACATACCCTTGTGACCGTTAGAGCCAATAGAATCGAAGGGGGAGGCCCACTCACACACACGTTGTAAAGAAAAAATGTGGGCGCTTCGCGTGTGGAAAACGAAACCAAAGTGGAGGAATGTCTCCTTCTGGAGTTTGGAAACTAAAACGCAGTTGTATTGCTTATGGATTATCAGAAATAATTTCAAAGAAGGCACAGACACATAGGATAAACCTATGGATTAACTGCAGCATCGTTTTTTTATCGTTTTAATGCCATTGAAGACCACTTTTGACCAAGGTAAGCTATATTTACGTTTTTTAGCTACTTAGCTCCACATGTGATGATGTACGCTTTCGTTTATAGCGTCGCGAATGTTTATCACTGAGTGTTGAGGTTTTTTACACAGATTCAGTGTCTCCAGGACACCAAAAACGAGTGGTTGGCTGTGCATCTAGGATAAGTAATAAGGGAGTTATGAGTGAGTTTAAGTGCCTTTGTAGGTTCCGTTTTTTCGATCGAGGCTAATTCAGAGGCTGAGTGCTAGCATTGTGGGTTTTTTTTGAAAAAAAAAATTAAAAAGATCAGTTAGCTGAGTTTCTTCCCGTTACATGGATATAACACATTCATAGTTTTATTCAATATTAAGATTCCTTAGACGTTGTTTCCTGCAAATGACGCGTTTATCCGCCCGGTACCGGGGGGATGGTGTGAAACAGGTTAAATGTCTTGGTTTGGTAACATGACTTTAAAGAGCAGAAACTGTCTCAGTCAGATCATAAAGTGGTCTAGCAGACTGATTGGTGAGTCACAGCTAAACCTGGAGCCAGGGCCGTATCCAGGATTTCCTAAATACCGAGGTCCAAACATGCTGGGGGGGTTCGGGGGTATACCCCCCCTAGACTTTTGGGATTTTCATGATCTAGATAGGTGCTTTTTAAGTCCTGTGGGGGGTCACAAATTGGATAATATATTGATTTCAAACCATGTCAGTGGGCTGCAGCATACATTATTTTTGAAAGTGTAATGCATAAGAATCAGTTGATTGTTACTATGAATGATCTGGACATGCAGAAGAGGCTAAAATGATCACACAACATTGTCAACATTCATTTTCCATGTCTCTCTCCTTTCCATAACCTGCACCCTCTCTTCCATCTTCTTTAGTCTCTCCGTCTTCTTCCTGTTCATTACTCTCTCTGTCCTCTACTCTTTCTCTTTGTTCAATCTCTCCCTCGTTGTTCACTTTTTGCTCCTCCTCACTTTCTGCTCCTCCTCACTTGTCGCTCCTCCTCACTTGTCGCTCCTCCTCACTTGTCGCTCCTGCCAGTGAATTAAAAGCAATTCAGCAATTTAGTTCATTTCACTTGTTTGTTTGCATTATTTTTTTAATTTAAATCTGTTTTGTTTGATTCTCAAAAGAGAACAAAGATGTAAGCAAATGGTGTTTTATACAATTGTATGTTATGATTACATCATAACTGCAATAGATGTATGTTGTTTAAAATTATGCCTATTGTCTATATTGTAAATGAAGACTATTGTTATAGATAAATAGATATATAGATAGATAGATAGATAGATAGATAGATAGATAGATAGATAGATAGATAGATAGATAGATAGATAGATAGATAGATAGATAGATAGATAGATAGATAGATAGATAGATGGATGGATGGATGTGTGAACTGATAAGAAATGTGTTTTTGATATATCATTGTTTTTGATATATCATTGAAAATAGGAAAAACAAGTTCCCTGATAACTAAGTTACAATGAGGTTCAAATCTATGGGAAGAATATTTTTTAAATTTGATATAATCTCCCATTTATTTTTCATGCTAATGTTTTGTATAGCCCAACATATATATCAAAACATGTACTGTTATATATGTTTTTCGAATTCGGGCAATCTAGTCCCAGATGTATAATCTAAAACTAAAAAAAAACATTTGACATTTTCAAGGCTCTTCAGTGAAACCAGGTCAGTGTTGGAAGACACTCCTTCCCTTATTCAGACTATTAAAAGTTAGACATAAAAACAGTCACGACTTGTTAGAGCGGTTCTGACACGCCGTGCATTTTTCTCTGATGACGAGAACTCAGATAACAATCAGACTGCAACTCATTCTGCCTGAAACACTGACAACAGTACATGGAGATCTTTCTAAACTCATTCTGCTTTCACTCAGAGAGAAACCCTGCACAATATTTCAGACAGATGTTCAAACAGACCCTGGATATGTTTGAGTTATCTTAACTAACCCTAACAAACGACATCTCGCTAAGTGGTCCTACGACGCTGGTTATCAACTCAGTAAATCAACCAGGGTTTCACAAACATGGACAAGCGTACTGACAGCGCAGCGTCATACTTCATGATTAAATAGTAAACTATCATGTTAGACAAATATGAAGACGTTCAACTTTTAACATCCATGACTTAAACACTTTATCCAGGATAAAAGTCACACAGTTGCACCTGCAAGGTGAATATAGAACAGCTGGTAAAAAAAAAACGACCAAGTGTTTGAATGCATTCATTAACAGTTTTATGATATCACTGCCTGTCTACTCACAGACTCTCTTCAGGTCTACTCACAGACTCTCTTCAGGTGAGAAGGAAACTCTGCTCATTTCTTCCTCTTCAGTCCTGAGTCTGCCTGCATCTGATCTGAGGACGCCTTCACACCATAGACTGTATATATAAAGCTTCACACCCTCAGAAATCCAGAGAGTAAAAACACGTCAGAGTCACGTGGAAACCGGCCTTACAGGTTGTAGCTGTCAGCCTGCCAGACCTCACCTCCCTGATTCAGACTATCAAGCAGTGGCGGCCGGCCCATAGGGGCGCTAGGGGCGCCGCCCCCCCCCCATCTTCCCACATTAAAAATGTAAATAAAAAAAATATGTATTTAAAAAATATTTTTTTTATTTTTATTTTTAATAAACAAGGTAAATATGATATAATTGGTATCAGTAAAATGTATAATCTACAATAAAATCTCGTTTAAAATTGTCTTACGATGTCTAAAGTTACTGATAAGTCGCATGTTTCCTGCCTGGCCTTGCCCGTGTATCATTACCCTCTCTCTAGACGCTTCTTGTGAGACTTGTGTTTTGTTTCGGTAAACATGGTTCATATCATCAGTTACAGTAGCTGCGTTTCTTCCCGTTAAATGAGTAGGACACATGAATAGTTTATTACATTTTAAGAAGCCCTGAGACACAGTTTCGTGAGAAAAAAAACGGTGGGAAAAAAAGCCCCTTAACAGGTTAAATGGGAATTAAATCATTTAAAGTAATTTTGAGTGTTCCCAAAGCCCTGGTGTTCTGCAGTTTGTGTGGGCCTACTGTACTGTTACACAGTTTATGCTGCAGAAACTATGTCCAGGACAAGGTGTTTGGAACATTTGGAAGATTCATAGCTAACCACACTGAAGATTATGGAGGTATTGATCAGTCTTCTCATATTTTTAAGCCTCAATTTGTCCTTCCCCCCCCCCCCCCCCTCTAACATCACCAGAAGTCATAATTTAAGGGGTCTTTTCTCAACAAATGTTTACCGCCCTAGTATTGTTTGGTCACCATTTCCACAGCCCAACCTAAAATATTTTCCACCAGCCGCCACTGCTATTAATAGTTTGATAAAATCAGTCACGACTTGTTAGACCGGTTCTGACACGCCCTGCATTTTTCTCTGATGATGAGAACTCAGAGAACAATCAGACTGCAGCTCATTCTGCCTGAAACACTGCCAACAGTACATGGAGATCTTTCTAAACCCATTCTGCTTTCACTCAGAGAGAAACCCACAGTATTTCAGACAGATGTTTAGAATCAGCATCAAGAAACATGTGTCCTGTCCAGTGTTGGGCAAGTTAAATGTAATACAGTACATATTACTTTATTACTGTCTCTTTTAAGTAATAAGTTACATTACAATATTACTGTCTCTGAAATGTAATGAGTCACACTACTTTTGTCACACTACCAGCTGCTCTTGCAGTAATAAGTAGCACCTTTCTTACTGTCCTAATGTGCACAATGTAGTGACTGCTTTTTCCTCTTTTGTTTTCTTAGTTGTGTTCTCTGTAATTTCATATGTCTGTGTTCTGTGTTCTGTGTAACGTTACTGCCTTCTTGGCCAGGTCAGCATTGAAAATGAGATTTTATCTCAATGCTTTTATCTGGTTAAATAAAGGTTAAATAAATAAATAAATAAATGTTATATTACTTTTGAGTTGCTTTCACCAAAATAACCACAAAAGAATGGCTATGTATTTAAATGCTAATGTAGTTTAGTGCAGCTCATTATACATCCAGTGAAAGGCAATGTGGTATAGCACAATAACTGTGAAGGCCCTTAAGGCTACTAACAACTTACATTGTTACACGGCTAGTTGAATACTCGATTCTGATTGGTCAATTCAGAACACGTGACACGTTGTTAATACAGTAGTACAGACAGTTTAGAGTTTACTGAAGAGTTTAGTGTGTGTTTCAAGAGTTTACTGTGTGTGTGAAGAGTTGAGTGTGTGTGTGTGTGCAGAGTTTAGTGTGTGTGTGCAGTGTTTGAAGAGTTTAGTGTGTGTGTGAATAGTTTAGTGTGTGGGGGGCGTGTGGTGCAGTGAGAGGCTGTCTTTAACATACTGTCATTCCTTCCTTCATTTCCTATCATACTATCATACATAAATAACTATTTTCTCTCACACACAAAAACAACATCTCTTAAACGCACCATCATACTCTCGTACACACACCACTATCGTCTTTTACAAACAACTATAATCTAATAGAACATTATAATAGTGTATGTGAAAGAGGATAGTAGTATGTGTGTAATCGGTAAACAATGTATGTAAGACAGAATAATAACCTATATAAGAGGGAATAGTATTTCATGTTAATAACAATAGTCATATATGTAAAACAGAATAGCAGTGAATGAAAGGCAGAATAATAGCTTATATAAGAGGTAATAATAGTTCATGTGAATGACTATAGGTTTGTGTATAAAACAGAATGATAGGGTGTGTGCATAAGAATAGTTATGAGTGTGAGAGAGTATGATTGAAAAGGAAGTGAGTTTGATTGAAAAGGAAGTTGGACTAAATTCTCAGTTCCTGATTGGCTCTACGTTTTTCGTCTGACGGACACCGCCCAAGAAAGGCAGTAGAATCTTTATATATACAGTCTATGAGTAGAATGCTACTAATTTTCTATATGCAACCTGAAGAGTAAAAGGGTCAAGTCCATCAGAAAGCAATGACTGTAAGTGTAAGTGTAAGCCTTACACTTACACTGTAAGGATTAGTAACATGTATTGTGTTTATGTGATGACATTTGGAGATGTTTAAACTCAATAGCCTCGTTCACACCGGAGTACTTTTCACCGTACTTTTCGCGTTTAGTTCCGTTAGTACCCCTTATGTCGCGTTCACACCAAAAAGAGCACTTCATCTCGGGAACTTTTACCCCCATTTTTAGTGCCTGCTGAGAGATCGTACTTTCCTTGGGGAAAAAAGTGCCCCAGTTCTGATTGGCTGGGCGAATTGCAAACCGCGCCCCGTAAAACTCTGAAATGTTTTGTAGAGCCGCCATTTTATTTGCTCGGTACATAAACCCAGCGCACCAACGGAGAGTAGTTTGTTTTGAAAGCAGTTATGGCAAGCATCAATAAATCATCAGAGCGGTGGAGTGATGAGGAGGTGTCTGCGCTTCTGGAAATCTACGCCGAGGACGCGACCCAGGGAATGCTACTGAAGCCAGTACCCAACTCCAAAATGTTCGAGCGTTGTTCGAAAAAGTTACTCGAGCTGGGAATCGTGCACAGCGCCACGGCACGCCGGCTAAAAATAAAGAAACTCAGGCAGGACTACAAACAAATTAAAGACTATTATAACAAGAGTGGTAACGACCGGAAGACCAGTAAATGGTACGAGCGCTTGGATGCTCTGCTAGGCCACAGACCTTTCTCCGGCACAGCATCGACCTTCGATTTGGGCACGATGGTGTGGGAGGCCGCCGCTCAAACGGCGGATTCAGTGGCCAACGACCACGACCACGACGAAGGTAAAATCAATGCTTTTGCGAGCACAAACTAGAGGGGAACAGCAAAAACCAGTGTGATTTTGGTGACAGTGTGACTGTCCTGGACAAAGTTGTAGGGGGGGTGCCATATCTGGCAGGAGAAATACCTGCTCTGCTGAACATGTTATGTAGAGAACAGTGCAGATCTTCCCTATTAGCCGCGTTCACACCAAGTACTTTCCTGTACTTAGTTCCGGCACTAAGAGCCCCGGCGCTTTTAACCCCAGGGCACTTAGTATAGATCGCGTTCACACCGGAGTACTTTTCCCTGAGGGAAGATTACGCAAATGAGCCGCTGACGTCACTTCTTCTTCTTCTGCTTTTGGCTTTACTGGCAGGCCACAAACCACTTCACGGCGAGTACAGTAGGTGGCGGTATGCACCTTAAAGTTGTTTGCAATCCGCTGCAAAACAAGAGAAGAAGAAGAAAAACTTCCCGCGTATACTGCGACGCCCATCCCACTCGCTGTACATTAGGCGTCTGTTGTTTACCTTCCGACCTCAGACATGATGGAGATGGAGTCGACTGAAGTTGTGCTGTTTGTGCTCATGTTATACAGCTTTGTAACGGAGTTAATGCAGCCTGAGCAACTTGCGTACAATAACAAAACAAGCCGATCACGAGTGGTGGTGGAGAACGCTTTTGGCAGACTGAAGGGCAGGTGGCGGTGCTTGATGAAAAGAAACTACTGCAAGATGGACAAGATCACATTCCAGGTGGCAGCATGTTGCATATTACATAACCTTTGTGAAAGTAATGAGTACAGGGACGAATGGACTGCCTTACCGGCGACCCAGCTTTATGAGGCATCTGAACAGCGTGTAAATTGTAAACATTTTGACAATAAAGAAGATCTTTTGTACAGTGATTTTGTTTCCCTTTTATTTTCCAGTCAAGACAGGCAACATTACAATAGTGTACAGTGTGGCAATATAATAACAATAAACTGTGCCAGGTGTGTTGTATGCACAGTAAATAGGCTCAGCAGCAAACCCACCTTTATTATATATATATCTTCCTGAGACCCGCTGCATCCGTCTGCCATAAACACTATGGAAACATACATGTTAGTTTCGGCCCATAGTGGACTCCATATTGTGTTGTGTAAAATGGGGGGGGAATTAAAAGTTTGCAAATCCCCATGTCCTCCTCAGAGGATAATCATAAAAACATTTAGTTTTAGGTCAAATAATATTTAAAATTATATAAATTATCATATTTGTGTATGTGCCCCTGCCATTCCTCCACAAGGTTGCAACATTGATGATATATGACAAATAAAGCTTTGCCAGTTTATAACCGATGAAACATGATGGTATCAGAATAATCACTTCCATGTGATGTATAGGATACTACACAGGTCACTAAAGATAAAGTGTCAGGAGAAATAAGCAAGATACAGGATCTGTTTAACAGTAAATAGAAGTTCACATTTTTAATGTAAATAAAATAGAAGTTGTACATGTAAATTAACATTATCAATATAAAATAAAGTGTCAGTTGTATCAAGACTATATAATAACAGTAATAACAATAATATAAAATGAACTGGTGAGCATCTTGTCCTCCGTTTCCTGGGCCTTGGTGAACAGCACCATCTGATCCCCGTGCATCGACTCTTTCACCACGGCACGCCGGTCCTCCAACGCCTGGGCGGTGTCAAAGAAATTCGCATCCCGA